CCATATGTTGATCAATTCACTTCCCTTGCCTTAGAATTGAACCTAGCCTAACTTCTCAAGTGTTATAAGACCATTAAGCATCCAAAAACACACCACCCATGAGCTTACGACTGTAAACTCATCGGGATATGGTCTATGGGCCTTAAGATCCATTAGGAGTTTACTCTTGAAGAGCAAACTCCATATCTAGGCCTTACACCTCCTTAGATGCAACCCGGATCACTCCTAACACTTGAATTGAAGTGTTTTCGCGCCTCGGAGTGTACTGTCTTACTTAATTGGTAGTTCAAAGTCTAATTAGATACAATTATGTATCTCTTCATATTACATAGGAACCTCGCGTGTATTCAAGCCCCGAACTGACACTTAGCATCCTAACTGACACATTTCTCGACTGGTGAGTTCATACCCCTACACCTTTTTCCGTGTTTTCAATGTTTTCAGGGGGGGGGTACAAGAAAAGTACAAGAATATCTTGTACTCAAACTTATTTTCTCATTTGAAATGTTTCATATTCCTTATTCTTTTAACACTGGAAATTTTATTAACCAACCGTTTAACTTGCAGAGTTAGTTTTCAAACTGTTTGTGAAACTCGTTATAAAATGCTATATTTTATATTTCACAAATGATTTTTCTGTATCTTTACTATTAAAAGCATGAACGTTAGAACTTTAAAAACATCCTTGATAACACTCCCCCTAGATGCGAGAGTGAAGGACTAATAACATTAAACTTAGAACTTTAGACACGTCCTTGATAACACTCCCCCTAGATACGAGAGTGAAGGACTAATCACATTAAAATTAGAACTTTAGGCACATCCTTGATAACACTCCCTCTAAATACGAGAGTGAAGGACTAATAACATTAAAATTAGAACTTTAGACACGTCCTTGATAACACTCCCCCTAGATACGAGAGTGAAGGACCAATAAAACAGAATTTCCCGTTTTATTATCTTTTAATTCATTAATCTTAAGATTGGAGACACATCCTTGTAACACTCCCCCTAGTTACGAGAGTGTAGGACTACCCCTGTAACCAGAATCTCTTGGAGGGAGAACGTGACTTGGGTGTACAGATCTATATGGGATTGACTACCCCGCACCTGACTGCTAGCTACAGTCGGACTGAAAGGTCCAAAGGTGACAAAAGTCATAAAACGATATTGGCCCCGTTCCGAGCCTTATCTAGTCTATTGTATGGTTATGGAACTCGCAATTTAGATTATGAAAACTTTTCTACTTACTTATTAGTTTTATATACGTGTTAAAACTAATGTGCTTTCAAGGATAACTAGGCTTTCAGAATACTCAACTTTAATATAACAAGTACGGTAGATATTCATACACTGCATTCCGAATCGATAACCAATCACAAACTTCTAAGAAAATAAGGGTTTTTCCTTGGATAACTAAACTGCTCTTAACCAAATTGTGTAACAAACGGATAACTTAACTTTACTTATAAGAAAATATGGGATTTTCTTGGATAACAACTTTTTCAGAGAACTAAAGGAAAACTTGTTCATTTTCAGAAACAAACCGCTTATGAACTCACCAGCTTTATGCTGATATTTTCAAAACTGCTTGTATTCTCAGGTCCACATTATACAGGTACCCTACGATCTTTTGGAGAAGACGGAGCATTTTAGCAGTCTCGTCTTTACTTTTGTTCATTTTGGATGTATATATCTATAATCATGTATAACTTTACTTTCAAACAAATGTAAATACTTCTATGTAATGTAATGATTGTGTTTACTAAGCTTACTATGTACATTGGTTGTGATACTTTACATGACATCCTCCGCCCCGGAACGTTTCCGCTATCGGTTTCGGGGTGTGACAATATATATATATATATATATATATATATTGTTATTGGTGCGAGTTGATTAAGATTTAAGCTTGAGTTAGCTGACATTAAGATTTACAGTTGAAGGCTTGAAGCTGATGGAAAAAGACACACCTTTGAAAAAAAGAAGAGATTGAGATAGCGAACATTGGAGTATCAAATGATATTTTGTCTTAGTTAACTAAAACCCTAATACGGGTCTATTTATACCATATGAAAAAAAAACATCGCTATTCACGCTATGCAGTCGCTATGGACCCTATAGCGACTCATGAACGCCTCGCCTCACCAAATGTCATAGCAAGCGTCATGGTCGCTATTAATAACGCTGTATACCCATTGACCAAACATCCAGTATATAGTATACTGGTTGACATAATGTGATGACCCATGCGACAATATACGAGTTTCGTATTTAAACAATTGTGGCCAAGAATTAACCTAAATAAAAATATATAGCATAGTGGTTAACAAGAGTTTAAAACTCCCATATTAAATTTTAAAACAATAAACATAAAAAGGTTTTCTTACACATTGGCAAAGCCATGATGCAAATTGTTTCTCATGACGTTTATTTACATTGTCAACGTTTTTTTTCCTCTAGTTCAACTTTGTGTGAACTAAAAAGTTAAAAATTAAGACTTTTTATTATATGAAAAAAATTAAAAATACTATTACATAAAAAGAATCACTTACTTTATTAGTTCCTTTATTTCAACACAATTGTTTAGAATATATGTATGAATCTTCTCCAATTCATTTTCACTCAAATCCTGTGCTTTTGGACTACCTAATGGGCGCTCTTTGCATGAAAAAATAGAAATTTCACCATCGCTATCCATCATTTCATTGTTGCGCTCACCTTATTGAAAAGTGTGTCCACATCATCCAAATACATAGTTAAAAATTTTAGGCATTCATTGTCTATGTATCTCTCAACCATACATCCTTCTGGACAAGATTTGTTCTTGACATTTAAAGTACCCATTTTCCTCTCAAAATGGAACATCCAACGGTATTGAGGTGGGCCTGCGATCTTGGCTTCATATGTAAAACGAATCAAAAGATGAACCATGATGTCAAAGAATGATGGATGAAATATCCACTCCAACTTATATAATATGAGAACAATTTTTTTCCTCTTGTTCCTCTAAAACATCTAGGTACATACTTCTTGTGCATAATTTCTGGAAAAACTTGTTGAGTTTATACAACACAAGTCGAACTTCCTTTGTCAAACAACCCCTAGTTGATAAGGGAAAGAATCATTGGATGGAAACATAAAAGTCATGGATTTTTATGTGAGACAACTGGAAGTCCCCCCTTTAATGCATCTAGACATATTCAAGGCAAATTCATTCGGTAACTTAAGTGACTTCAAGACATCTAATATCTTTCGTTTCACTTCCTTTGTCAAATGGTAGCAAGCCATAGGCATTATAAATGAATTTTCATCTGGTTGTAAATGTAATCTCTTCTTTAAACCTTCATCCATAAAATCCTTGCGAGATTTCCATGTGTCCTTTGTTTTATTCTTAATATTGAACAATGTGGCCGTCAAGCTTTCTGTCACATTCTTAACAACATGCCTGATATCAGTGTTGTGTCTCAATTTTAGTTTAGCCCAATATGGAAGCTTAAAGAACACACTTTTCTTTTTCCATCCTTGTTTGTCCTCTCTAGACCTACATTTTCTTGAGTTACAAAACATATCAACATCAACCAAAATTTCATTTCCAGACTTTGGTGTTAATGTTTCCCGCATATCTACCGTCCCGTCAAAGTTCTTTTTATCCCTACGACATTTGTTTGAGGATGGCACGAATCTTGGATGACCCATATAGCACATTTTTTACTATGAGTCAACTAACGAGATGATGTTTCATCCATATATGTAGGAAAAGCATTGTAACCCTTAACAGTCCAACAAGAGAGGATACCATATGCTAGAAAATCATTTATTGTCCACAAAAGGGCTGCTGGTAATGTAAAAGTTTCGTTTCTAAGTGCATCGTAAGAATTTACACCAACCCATAACTCATTTAGTTCGTCAATTAGAGGTTGTAAGTAGACATCAATAATAATGCCAGATGATAAGGGGGGACCTGGAATCAACATTGGCATGAATATATATATGGGTATTTCATACATTTCCATGGTGGCAAATTGTACGGTACAACAAAGATAGGCTATATGCTATGCAAACTGCATAAGTTACCAAATTAATTGAATCCATCTGTTTCCAACCCTAAGCGTATATTACGTGGATCAATAAAAAATGAAGGAAAGTCTTTATCAACATGTTTCCAAGCTTCGGTATCCAGGATGTCTAACTACATTATCATCATCGACTCGTGTTTCCTTATGCCACCTCATGTCACAAGCGACTTGTTTGTCAATAAACACTACAAGAAAAAGACCCTTTAACGACGCGCAAACAACAACACTCGTCGATTTATGTTACGCAAAAGAGAGTGACATTAAAAAAGTGTTATCTCTTCAAAAAATTGAAGGATTTTGGTCACGTATTATTGCGTGCCCTTAAATTAGTGTTGAATGTAAAAAAAATTAAAAACACGGAGGGCACTTTATCTAAATTGTGCGTCCTCTCTCCGTGTCGCTTTACGATTTCTACTCAAAACACGCGTTTCTTAAAAGGGGGAAACGAAATTCTCTTAAAATTCTAAGAATTTTAAACACCCCGCTTCAAGATCTCCATTCGTTATCTTCTCCCCTTCTCTTGCAAACCCTAATCATGATATCATCTCTACTACAACTCATTTAACCAGTCTACAATTTTTTTCTTAAAAACTCAGCGTTCATTCCTGAAGATCACAAAATGGCGACCATCAATTACACGTATATTTTTAGCCCAATACTTTCGTTTGGTTGTACCGCATGGGTAAATTATCCCCGCCCTATCGGACTGCTATACATCTCTACTTCAAGATATCCCATCTCAATGAAAGATATTCACGATGCACTCCTGTCTCATAGCGATTTAGGGTTTTTTGGTACAAGTTATCGACTAAGACACCGACGACTTAGGGTTTTAACTTTCACCACTGCTGCCGCTTCGCCACCTAAGCGAATCGACACTCATAACGCACCTTCCACTGCGACGAAGCACTAGGATGCTTGATGATTGGCCTCGCATCAAGGTTCCACAGAGCCCAAATCATTCGAACTAGAAACCTTCAGGTACTATCACTACAAGATCTCACCTCCCCTCCCCTTGCCGGCAATATCAGGTCCGACGACCTTAGAATTACTTCTTCTATTGCTCTAATTTACAAGCCCTATGTCTTCTTAACGTGTATTTCGGGTTGATTTTTTTTCCCTATGTTTTCATTCTTCTACCAGAACCCTATCTTGCTAAATCCTTTTGTTTTCCCGGCTTAATTTTTCTAGACCAAGATTTTGTAGACAGGAAGCAGGTGGCAGAGAAGCCCTAGACCAAGATTTTGTAGAAATTTTTGGTGTTGAATCAACAATTGTTCGTTCACAGGTTTTTCATTTTTAATCATTTATCTGTTCTTCCCACCATTTTTATTAGGTTGTCAATTTACTTAACAGACTTTAGTTAAGTTCTTCTCAGGCACTCATGCCATTACATGTGCCTTGTTTGCTTTCTTGAGCCCTGGTGATGAGGCACTTAATCTACTCATTTAGAAAGCATAAAATTTATTCATTAATTTTTATTAGCTTTTGGCAGTTGGGTCATCACTGACCAGCTGTACAGTTTTACAATCACAAAAACAAATATATGTAAAATTTTTGGGCATGTTTTGGTCTTTCAGTCGCTCTTTTTTGTGGCTTCTGGCTGAAGAGCTGAACAATAAATAATACTTAATGCTATAGCTGATGAAGATATGCTCATGGCCCTTGCTCATCAGAAGTACAAGTCTGGAGACTTTAGACTGGCATCAGATCATAACAAGGCTGTTTATGTTTTTACAAATTAAGCATTTTTTTCTTCATTTATTTAGTTTTCTAAATTTACATACCTGTGCCAAATGGTGTTGATAATGTGGAGGCGCCACTTGCAGGATTTAAGCAAACGGTGTAGAAAACAGCGATCCGCCACCTGTCGATGTGGGCCCCTACGCAGGTGTCGAAGTCAAAAACGCCCCAAAATTTGATCTTTGAGGGGTCCCACCACTCGATCAAAACAAGTTTGATGACGGGGAAGAAGGGGCGGGAGTTGAAAACAAAGAAGATGATGACGTGGCACCAAACGGAGTACTAAACAGCCCTGAACCAGATGCCAGGTTGGCAACCCCGACAGGTGGAGTAGGAACAACAGCAGATGATGTGGCAGCAGCAGGTGTTGCTGAGCTGGCAAGCAATGCGCCAGATGGCTGGGAGTTAGAAGGGAGATGTAATGTCGGATGTACCCTTCGGGCAGCAGGTTCCCATTTCGCGGTTTCCCTCCGGTCAGCTTCAAGTGTTGATCCTCTTGAGGAACAGAAAAAGATAGCAAGGGCACTCAGGTAATTTACTTGCTTTATTAACATAATATATATTTTTTATTGGCAGTTTTGTTTAATACTATGAAGTTTTGTTCTTGTACGGGTTCTCAGGGACACAAAAGGCAACTGTTCTCAGTGAGACCCTTATTCACTTGAGTTTAACTATTTTTTTTCTTGTGCCTTTAATTTAACTCTTTTATATTTTTTTAAAATGCAGGTTAGAATTGTGTAATCTTTTGATCCCCAAACAGCCCTTTTGTTGATTATGGAGTTACAGTAATAGTTCCTCTTCCTCTGCTATTGGTAAAGCTGGTGCCCCCCACTTGTTAATTGATAGCAATCTCCAGAGTCAGTGACTTCAAAAAAAATTTAAAAAAATATACAAGGTATTATAGATATGAAATAGTGAGTGAATGAGGTTAGGTTTAAAAATGAGAGTTTTTCAATGTTTTAAAACATATATAAATATTATCACATGATGAATTTTCAGTGTTTTGGTATGCACCTACATTCCCAGGTAATAAGAGTTGCATCATAGTAAAAGTAAAACCACAAATCATGGATCTAATGCTAGGTTGGATAATTTGTGTTAGTTACTAATTTATCGTTTTTTTTTTTGGATTTTGATATTTTATTAATAAAAGATAGGAAGATCTGATTTGGTGGATTTAAAAGATTTGCAGGAAATGTTGGTTCGATTATGGTGACTCAGTAGTCTACATGTCTTTGTCTTGACTTTCTTTATTAAGTCTTTTTTTTGTGCATTAAGTAAAAAACAAAGTCATTTGTTATTTAACCTCACTTCCACATAAAAGGGTAAAATAATGGTCATTTTCTATTTCAGACCGGAACTACTATTACTAACCAGATGGACCTTCGTGAGCAAGTGAAAATGTTATCAGGTTAGGTGGCACTTTGCACTAGTAGCATACTTAACTGATTTGACTTGAAAAAACATGATTTAATTTTTTTTTCCTGTTATTTGCAGAGGTTTGGGAATATTGCTGGTGTATTTAAAGTCATGTCGATTTCAATCAGTGCCCTTGAAAAAGGGGAAGTTGACACCGCTTATATGACCAAACTTGCTAAGCTTGCCACTGCTGAGATCATTTCATCAAAGGTAATTTTGGGTCTAGTCTTTTCGGTATTGTTAATATGGTCTTTAAGGGCTGCTGAACATATTCATCAAACTGAATTCTCCTTCATGAAGTTTGAGGTGTTGAGTTTAATTGATTATGATGGTTACTAATTAGTTCTATTGTTTTCCAAGTCAATATACAATTAGCATGTGCTTTTTTGGTTATGGTATATATGATGTTTGTCCGTGGGCCCTAACCATGTGGATTTCGTGAGCTAAATGTTAACTCCCATGGCATAAAAACATGTTTGAATAATATATGTTCAAATAGAAATATAAATTTTTTAGGAATCACTTATGAACAAAACTCTAAATTATTAAATTATAAATATAGATTATTAATCTGAAAATAGATAAGGTGACATAATCGTAAAAAAAACAAATTATTGAAATGTATTCACCATTTAATAATTGTGAATTCATTAAGTTTACAGTTTGATATATAATAGCTACAATAAAATGGGTTATAGTGTGTGGTATGACATATTACATGAGGGATTTGATGCTTCAGAGTTATTTAGAGAACAGATCACTATGAGGTAGGTACTCTTTAGCCTAATAGGATTATTAGGCGGCAATATTCTAGACCTTTGTGCTTATTATAAGTATTTGTTTGTTATCTTTTCCATTCTCTATCAACAGTAGCTCAACCTCAAGCAGCACTTTCACCTCAAGGTTATGGCTTTAATTTGTTTTCATATCCAGGAATGAGGCACTTCGAGTTGCTTTCATACATGTTGAAGAGGTTCCAGGTGGTGATGGAAAGATCACAAAGTCATTTTATTCGAAGCTTGTGAAAGCTGATATCAATGGAAAAGACCAGGTATCAGTTACTTACTACATGCAAAACCTCGGTCCTTTTCAACCAACTAATTAATGATTAAATATATTTTCCAGATTGTTCCTTTCTCAAGTGGGGAAAAGTCAAAGGTTTTAGATTCCACCTAAATCTTCATGGAATTGTAACGATAGAATCTGCTTCGGTAAGTATACTTTGGTGTTATACTTCATGGAAAAGGGTTTTGAGTTAGAGATACTTATGCTTTAAAGTTTTGCTTTTTTACACCATTTTACTCGAACCAAACACCATTTGTTGCACCAAATTTGGTGTTATACTATTCCTGTGTACAATTTAGTCCTTCAAGTTTGAGTTTATACATTTTTAGTTAGTTTAAATTTTACAGTTATATTTCAAATCTAGTATATGAACTTGTAATATTATGTTATATACTATATTGATATTAACTAATCATATATATTTAAAAATACTTTTATGTTTCAGGTTTATGGTCCTGAAGCAGATATATGGAGTGCTGGTGTGATTCTTTACATTCTTTTTTGTGGGGTCCCACCTTTTTGGGGAGGTAAGTCTAAAGGAATAAAAGACTAATAAGTTAATAAGTTAATAACTTATCAAATGCTCTAAACTTTCTTTTTAGTGATTGAATTCATGATAGAATCTGAAAATGAGATCTTTGAAGAGGTTTTGAGGGGTAAACTCGACTTTTCATTAGATCCATGACCTAGTATTTTTGAAAGTGCTAAAGATTTGGTTAGGAAAATGCTTATTAATGTTGGATCAAAAATATGGTTTATACTTTGCTTTTCTAGGAAAATATATTTTTTCTATAATATAATATGTAATATTATGGCTGTGTACGGCTGCACATGTGTGTGCGGCCGCACACCCTGTGTACGGCCGCACACGCGTGTGCAGCTGTACACTCGTGTGCTGCTGATGGCCCATGTCTCATATATATAGGGTGAGGAGTATATGTGAGTGTACGGTTGAGGAGAGGAGAGCATCTTGTAGAGAGAGAAAGTTAGAGAGAAGAAGTGTGTGTGAGAGAGAATCTATTGTAAGGAGCATCACTCAATATCATCAATACATCATAGATTCATCTTAATTCTTCTTCTCCTTCTCTTCTATTTGATCTGACATCATCCAATTGATTGGGATTCCGCACCATCAATTGGATCTGATTGATACACAAACAATTTTGGGGACTTACAATATCAGAACTTGGATTGTATCAGTCACTTTTATCAGATCTGGAGCTTATTTGATCTTCTTTTGAAAACAAAATAGCGTTTTTGGATAGATCTCGCAAAATTAAGGGGGTTACTTCTTTGCATTTTTCATAAAAACGAGTTTTTGATCGAGTTTTAGAGCAAAAAAGAGTGAAAAACGCCGTTTTCTCGTGAATCTGTTGAAGGTGTGCGGCCCGGTTGAAGGTGTGCTGTTGGTTGAAGGAGTGCGGCTTGGTGTATGCGGCTCAGCAGCCTCAGTGTGTGGCCCCAGATTACGACTCGGAGTGTGCGGCTTAATCTCCTCCTCGCATCGCAACCTTGCACAGCAGCCCTTTCATAAAAAAAAAAAAAAAGAAGAGGAAACGAATTTGAGGTGCCAGGGAGATCGAACCCTAGACCTCAAGGTTATTGGCCCAACGCCTTACCATCTCATCTCGAATACTCCTTGTGTCATTCCTTCGAAAAATAGAACATAAGCTATCCCTCTCGGTTTATAATTTCGCAAATTGACAATTTCAACCCAAAAAAAATCAATTTTCTTTATTTTTAAAATCCTTTTTAAACCAAAAATTTTAGTTTTTAAATTTTAATTTTAATTTTTGATTTTGACTTTTATAAGTTGACCTTTGACTTTAAATTTTGACTTTGTCGTTTGACTTTTAATTTTTCAAATTTGACTTTTCGGTTTGACTTTTCAAGTTTGACTTTTGAGTCTGACTTTTTAAATTCAACTTTTAAGGTTGAGTTTCTCGGTTTTTAAGTCAAAGGGTAATTAAAAATATAATAATAATATATATATATATATATATATATATATATATATATATATATATATATATATAATGAGTTCCACATCAATTCCGGTAAATGAATTACGTACTCCATCTTGTAAAGCTACGATTAAATTTCTTCGCGCTCAAATCGATTTATTAAAAAGGGAAAATGAGGACCTTAAATACGAAGGCTATACTCTAAGGAAAGGCTAGAAACCTTTAAAAGCACAATTAGAGGCCAAGACTAAGGACTTTAGGAAATTACAAAGAAGATTATAGCAACAAGTGTGAAAATTATGATCACATTAAGAAAAAACTTGCTGCTGTAACTGAAGAACTTGATGCTTTGAAAATAAAGTGTGGGAAAACAGATGTTAGTTTCAAAAATTACATTGCGTCAAGTAAGACAGTAGAGTCCTTATTTGAAAGTCAATTGAAATTCAAAGATAATCAAAACAAAGGTCTAGGGTATGATAGTGTTCCTCCTCCTTTCAATCATAACTACACATCCATCCCGTATGACACAGGAAGAAATTGAAAATGAGGCACATCTACAATATGGGAAACCTGTTGCGGTTGTGCCAGAAAAGGATGAAGTAAACGTTTCTAATGATTCTGTTACATGTGCAGGTAAAGTAGTAGAGGATGAGAACAAGGAGAAAACTATTGAACAAACCAATGATTCCTTGAACTCTGAATCTGTTGCTTCGAACTCAACTGCTTCTGATCAACTTCTTGTTGGTAAGTACAAGCCACCAAGTCAAGTGAAACAGCTAACTTGCTGTAAGTGTGCTTGTGGGAACAATCGGGAACGAGGCAAGGACACGCCACCAGGGGCAGGAAGAAACAACTCCATAGTGAAGAAAAAGACATGTTTTCACTGTGGAACACCTGGACACATTGCCAAAAATTGTCCTAATCGACCATACGTTCCCTACTACGAACAAGGGTGGCAGAACACGCCAAGAGGGAGATACTTCAAAAGAAACCCCTCAAGGTCATGTTCAGACAATGGCGACTTGAATGCCATGAAGGGCAAGAATTCAACTCCCAAGGTCAAGAAGGGAATGTCGACCAAGAAGCCAAATCCAAGAGATGCTCCAATGAAGTCAAAATCAAAATCATCTCAACGGCTGACATCAAGTTCAAAAGCAAATACTGAGCCATCCATCAGATCGAAAAAGAAATGGGTTAAACCAACTACAAATGGGTTAAACCAACTACAAATGGGTTCCAAAGGCTCACTCTCCCAAATCCTCTAACGACTCTAATATTTCTTCATCTTCTGTTTGTGATAAGCAGGACATGTCATGGGAGAGAGTACCATGAAAGGATGACAAAGGTCAACCCAGTTTCAAAATGGACCGGGTTACAAAGACCAACTGATCCTGCTCTGTGTTGGAGCAGATATGGAGGCATATCATCAGACTTCGGTTTGTTGATAGTGGTTGCTCCAGGCACATGATAGGAGGCATCTCTCAGCTGTGCAAAACTAAGAACTTTGTTTGAGAGTATGTGTCCTTTACAGGATAGGAAGAAAGGAAGGGATCCCTCATGGGGTTTGTGCTTAACTACATGAAGAATTTTCGGATCTGTTCTGAGATTACGCATGTTGTTCTCAGACCTTCTGGATGCAAATTCAATCGGTGACTTACGGTTTGAGTTTTCTTCTCTATACTCCTGAGTTTTTCTTAAGCTGATTCGCTTTAAAGACAAATTTTTGTTTTAGGATAGTTTAAATTTGCGCATTTACTTTCGTTTCTCTCATATGCACAAATTTAGGGGAAGAAATAAAATCAAAACAAAAATTAGAAAATAAAAAAATTAAAAAAATAATAGAAAAATAATATGTTGGTTATGGAATGTGCATGTGGGAGATGTTTTGGGAAGTGATATTATTAAGTGATAACAGGCAATCTACGTCTGCATAACGTACCCAAAGTTGAAGGGTCTATGCTCTGGTTTGATGCGTCGGTAGGCATGAAGAATTTAACAGACTTGACTAGGGGCAGATGAACTTAAGGAATCTAGAGACTTGATAAATCTTGACCTAGATAGTTCTATTTAGCCTGATAATACGACGCTTGGATAGGTTAAGCAGGGATATATATATATATATATATATATATATATATATATATATATATATATATATATATATATATATATATATATATATATATATATATGGGAATCTACTCGTCACATTAAATGAACCCGTATCTGGAACCGTGGTTTAACTTTTCCTCGATGTGCGGATTCTGTCCTTAATTCCGGTATTGATGGGGCGACTGGTAAATTCCGATGAATTAGGTCTGTAGAAAATTATTTTCTTTCTTTCTTACTGTTAGTCATATGTTGCCTCCTATGCGTGATTGGAAGAGATCCGACATGGACTGCAACATATGCAAATCTATTTCTCTGCATATTATATCTATGAAATTCTTCTTATTTGTTAGCCATATGCTGTCTCCTTTGCGTGATTAACAATCCAACCTGGTACACAGCATATGCAACCTTCTACTTCTCAATCCCTCTAAAACTATAAGTGATAATAATCTAAATCTATCTTTTATTTATTCATGATCTTGAGCTATCTTCTGCTCGTAGGTGGCTTGTAATTTCAAGTGATGGAGTCTGGGATGCTCTTTCCACTGAATCAGCTCTAGGGTGCAGTCGCGGATTGGCCCCGGAATCAGCAGCAACACAAACTGAATCAGCTTTGGAATGCAGTCGTGGATTGGCTCCAAAAAATTGTCAAAGTATGGAAACAAAAAAATGTCAAATTTGTAATAAAATATTATGCAATGGATTCTATTTTTTGTATATGATATTTTGTATGACATTAAATTTTATGAAATGGATTATATTTTTTGTATATGATATTTTATTTTCTATTATGAGGCATTAAATGCAAATTTAATTTGAAAATTAGTAAACCTATAAAAAATATATTGTTTAAACATTTAAAATTATGATACGCAAAAATGTGTGTCATCTTCATTTATGACATGGCCTTTTTTGACAGGGGCTTTCTTGATATGCATTGTGTGTCATTAACACGCGCGTCGTAAGGTTACGACACACGAATGCGTGTCATCTTCCTTTATGACAGGGTCTTCCTTGATACGCATTGCGTGTCGTAAACGCGCGTCGTAAATGAGCGTCGTAAATGCGCGTCGTCTCTCTTTATGATAGGGCCTTCCTTGACGCGCATTTGCGCGTCGTCTGAGCCTTTGACGACGTGCAATGAGCGTCGTAAAAGGCTGTTTTGTAGTAGTGAAACAATCTCTAAAGTCTAGGTTTAAGAGGAAAGTAATGAAGCACCTTTCGTGGTACTTTCAAATCATTTCTGCTAAATCGAGGCTCTTTGCAGTCATCATTTGGGCAGTGGGTACGAGACGCATACTGTTTCCGATAAAGAACACAATCATTAATACATGCATGAATTTTTTCTCTTTGAAAACCCAAATCAAGTATGTATTTTTTTTCTTCATAAAAATTCTTTGGGACTAATGATGGAGTTGCCAAGGCTTTCCTAAATATATCAAGAAAAGCATCAAATGATTTGATGGACCAACCACTTGTTGTCTTTAGATGTGAAACTGTAACAATAAATGAAAATTGTGATTAACTTTGACATCCTTCATAAAGTTCCCGGTGCGATTCATCTATCAATCTTCGGAGGACTTCTAAATCCTTGTCTAAGGTACATGAG